CCCCCCCCCCCCCCCCCCCCCGTTGAATTGAGTTTAGTTTTGGGCTACACCATCTGGCAGTAGGTTGGCAGAGACAGATTTGAATGTAATCTTTGCAGACGTACATTTATACTATTGTATGGATACATGTATATGGGATGGTTATCCTTTGTTTAGCCTGTAATGAGAAATATATATTATATACTATATACAACACCCTGTAACTGTAACTGTAACTCGTAACTTGTAACTTGTAACTGTAACTGTAACTGTAACTGTAACTGCTGTCGCTCTATTTCTCGCTCTATACTTGTAGCGATGTTTAGACACTCATATTAACAGACACATATTAATTCTTTCTATATATACAAAGGACATGTAAACGGTATTTACTCTCTTTTTAGCCTTAACCTTTGAAACCCGAGCAACACCCAAGAAACCCAAGAAAAATCAAAACGAAACCAATTGCTGATACAAGAAGAAACCCAAAATATTTATATGTATAATGTGAACCTCTGTATAATTTTTCAATTGACGAAACTTCTTGGCTTACAAAACCCTCTTCGAATTGAATTGAATTGAATTGAATTGAAATGAATAAATGAAATGTGAAAGAAATCTTTACAAATAAAATCTTGGAATTTTATTTTCAAATTCAAAGCATTAGCCAACTGAATGAGCAGTGAACACACAATTCCTTGTAATATTTGATCGTACCGATTAGTAGTTTGCACGCAATTATTTTTGCTGTACAATGCACCTAACAAAAACCAAAAACCAAAAATAAAATCGAAAAGAAGTGTCTATACAACGTACTGTAATGTTAATGTTTAGCATTAAGTTTATCTCTAATATATATCTATGTATATGGTACTCAATTAGCTGATAGTTGAATTAGAAACCACCGTCATATTAGACTTTGTAAAATGTACTTTGTATAACGTATGTATGTACTCTCTTCGTTTCGTACTTCGTACCACGTAACCGTAATCCTTAAAGTAACAGTAAAAGTAATCGTAAAATCGTAACATTAAATGATTGCCACCATCAGTAATCTCAATATGTATCAATTTACAAAGATATATTATATACAATAAGTACATCATTTGCAGTAGCCACAGATATTATTATTTTGACCCACATAAATATCCGGTACTCAATGTATTTTTTGTTGTCCGATTTTTCTCTTCGTTTTCCTCGAATAATTATCAACACAAAACTATCATCAACCGTCATAATAGATATAAAACTAGTCCTGTACTGTTCCAGTCTCACAATCCAAAAGTAATATTCTTCTACTATGAGTATCGGGTAATTTATAGTCGGCACAGTACACTCGACTATACCCTTTCAGCATTGAACTATTTTCTGTTTTAATAACTAATTTACATGCAAAGAGTATTTGCTTTTGGTAGAATCTAATCGATCTTTATTTATTTGATTAAATTTGATTCTCAATTACCTTTTTCCCTTGTATGATAATTATGCTTTGAGCGCAGTACTTTTGGCATTTTCATTTAGATATATTCTGATTTGTACATACTACACAATTTGCTCTACCCCTCTCTATTATTGAATTATTATACTATTAATTGTTGCGTTATCCAGGGCATAACACACATAAGAAGCAGGCAAATGCATGATCCGATGGCAAATAAAAAGAAATCACAAAACCAAAACAAAAGGAAAAACAAATCTGTATAAGAAAAATACATATGCGGACAATACCCTTTTTTTGTGTGAACTCAAAGTTCATTAGAAGCAAAAGGTAAATCATGTGGAATCAGCAACAATTAACAGTCATACATATATACTCGTATGTAGTGCTCGTGTGAATTACTTAAATAGGGGACAAAAAACGTATAAGCAATAATACATACATATGTATAACTTTGATACCGATGTGTTGTTGTTGAGGCAAATCTCAAGTATTACATAAACACATATATATTTGTATTTTAAAGAAAAAGTATGCATGAAGCTAACATTAGACCCTAAGCGCAGTGTTGAAAGTTGAACCAATTTAATGCTAAAGCGTATACAGAACTTACTATACAGAATATACACATATATAAGATAAATACATGCATTGTATAGTTGGGTGTCTGAATGTAAAAGAAAACACATACTGCATACGAGAACTTAGCATTGAATTGTTGTCTTATGTTGCCAGTGTTTGTGCAGTTGTACTAAAATAAATACAATACCAACATTTATATTATACGAGTATTTAACGCAAAGACGAACATGTTATGTAGGCGATGACTTTCGAAATGATTTGAAATTCCGTTTCCTTAGCTTCTTATGCAGTATAATTATACAATATATTATTATTATCAAGTACGGACTTAACAATTATATAAAGTATTCATAGATATATCTACATAGTATATTAGATCGTACAACACACACACACACGTAACACTCATTCCCACACAGAGACACAGGCATTACCCATTGGTAATGTGTAAAACTTAAATTTGCGTATACATTTGCTGTTCGACCCACAGAAATCCACACGAAACTCATCTTAAATGTCGCAGCGTAATAATATAATTAATTATATTATATACATATATAACACAATAAATGTTTCACATAAAATATTTTGGTCTGTAGTTTCAAAACATTTTCTTTCGTGCATTTTTCACACACACTCTCTCTCTCTCTCTCTCTCTCTCTCTCACATCCAATTTTAAGTTTGTAATTAAAAATCTTACGCGTAGTTAGTCTGGTAAATTAGATATTTAGTTGGAATACACACACACACATACATAAATTAGTAGGAACATTTACTTTAAGCACTCTGTAATCAATGGAATCTTTCTTTAGAACTATAATCGTATCTAAAAGAGCTCTGAGCGTCTGTTAGAGGCACGTTATTTAGGCGTAGACACGTATTATAGAAACAACCCACATATATCATACACCTTTGTACTTGTTGTGACTTGGGGTAGACATTTAGTTGATCTTCACTTACCCCCCAATGATGTGCGAGCGCCGTCCTTGAGAACACAATGCTTGGCTTTGTGAAAAACGGCTGCAGATTCTCTGCAAGAAGGCAATCAATACCAGTAAGATCAGTCGTTGGTTACCTATTAAAAAACTTACTTCTTTCCATTAGAGTGCGGCGTACTGGCATGCTTAATATCTAAAAATCACAGGAAATAATTGAGCATAAAAGGAGGAATTGCTGTCGATGTCTGTTTGGCTCTTACCCTTGTTGGGGCCACTGCCAGAAGAGCATTCCTCTTAATGCCCACAGTCGAAATACGAAGCGCCATTTTTTGTAAATTTAAAAAAACTTCCAATTGCAATCTCGGTTAATTTCGGGGACTCTTGAGTCTTGAAATCGTTTTGGAAGTTTTATGAGAAAAATTGAAATTTTTGTCTGTGTTTCGGCCAAAATATTTTAATGTTGTTCACGAGAAATTTATTTTAAACTAATTTTTTGAGGCTTTCACAGTTTTCACATTTTGGATTCAGACTATGCCTGTGGTTCCTGTGTGATTGTTTTTTGTTAGGTTTTAAAACATCTAAAAATTCCTATGTGAGCATTCCCTCCAGTAGTTAGAAAAAGATCAATTGTGTTTCTGTTTAATTCCTTTATTTAAAATCATTGAATTACGTGGATTAGTACCTTAACACTGTAATTCTTATAAATAGATATCAATGATGAAGGAGTGAATGGGATAATGGAGGGGATAATATACAGAAAAAAAAAGAAAAATTACCGAGACTAAACCGATTAAAAAGTAGACCAAAAATTAAAATTGAACCGATTTTCATCCCAAGAAAAATCTTTCGAAAAGTTAATTTTAGTTTCTTGCTAAAAATATTTACATAAATTTTTGAAATTTGGAATCATTCGGATCCGTTTTAAATCTTTAACAAAATCATTATTTAGAGACCCGAAGGAGCAAAGGTTTTGGACTACGTTCATATCCAAAAAACGTTTCTCAACTTTCAATGAATTATCAAAATTTAATAATTGTATTTTCACCTCTCTGTTTTCGCTGATCTCTGCTATGGAAACTAAGACGAACCCCATTTGGAGTACTGGATCATCCAATAAAATCATGAAATAAATTACAGAAATATATCAAAAACTGTTGTGTGTGTTTTTCTTTTAAAGGATACAATTTTGGGAGTGTGTGCTGTGGAGATGCAAAAATCATAAACAGTTATCGTCTGCTCAACAATTGAAATTTATTTAAAATAAATTTAGTATTTCCATCCGTCGGTATTCCTTTTTTTTTTTTTTGATTTATTTTATAAAATTGTTACACGACATTTACATATATGTAGAGAATGCGCGACATATCGACGAGCTGCTGCGTGTCTTGTGTGTGATTGAATCTTTAGTTTGTTTTACACCAGAATTTAGAATAGAGTTCATCCAGGATGCCGTTGGAAAGTTGGGAAACTTGGGTCGAGGGGGTGGATCCTTATCTTGGTAGCGAGCAGATTTCGCAGGATTGCAGATCGCCGCGATTGATGAATGTGCAGTGGTTGCACGTCCAGGTGTTCTCATCCTGATCCATAGCTTCTTGACTGGCCGCACCGCCGGCACTGGTCGCTCCACCGCCGCTGGGATAGCTGGTGGTGCCACTGCAAGAGGGAAGAACATAATACATAAGTTGGACAGTTGCTTGCAGGGGAAAAGAGAGAAATACTAACCCACTTCCGCCAGAACTGGCCTGAATGAGCGACTCGAGGATCTTCCACACCTCCTCGCCCTTGAAATCGGCAGCCCGGTTGGGGTTCTTGGTGCGCACCGCCTCCAGCAGCGATGCCATGTGCTGACGCAGCGGCAGCATGTCCATTTTGTACAGATAGACGAGCAAATGAAAGTCAGAGATGGCCTCAAGGAACTCCTCCTCGCCCCAGGCGGATAGATAGCCGCTCAGGGCACTAAAGTCCTGCAGATGGCCGTCAATGTAGCGATTCTCGATGGGGAATGCCTGCCGCTTCTCGTGGTTTGTGAACATGTACTGTGGCTTTACCGGCGTCGAGGCGGGCACATCCACCAGCAGATATTCCACGGGCAGAGGACGTGCCAGACGCTGAACCTCGTTGCCATATTGATCTTTTTCCTGCAAATAAAGGTACAAAAATAGGAGAAAGTGTAAGTAAAATTCCATAAGTGTAGGGCAGAATGAAGCCAAAGATAACGGCCATGCATCGGCTGTATCAATGCAATTTTTGCAGTTTTATGGTCCTGAAACGCACTGCCCCGTCAGGTGCTGACAGGCAGCGTACGTGCCTTTGCAACTCGATGGCTATTAGAAATGGGGCATGGTCTGTTGCATGGTCTAATCTTGCGTGGCATTTCGTTAAAAAATATAAAACAAATTCAATAAAAATATGACACATGTATGTGTTTATCATAATGTATTTGCAAACAAAAGAACAACAGATGCAAATATGCATACATATATATTTTAGCATTGTGGATGCCCCACTGACCTGACCTACATCTAAATGGAAAAACAGAACGAAGGACCTGCTGACGCGCTGACGTCTGCTATGCTCTCTGCCGCCCTCACCCACTGCTACTCGCTCGCTCTCTCTCTCTCTCTCTCTCTCACTCTCTGCTGCTGTGGCTTCTCTTTGAAAGCTCTTGCAACCTGTTTGCTTGAGAGTAACCTTGCAGGGGCTGTCCTGGCCTGGACTCGTATCCAGCTTCAAGGCCTTCAGACTGTTTGCAGTGGGTCGGTCTTGGGAGCTGGCCACAAGCGGGTGCAAGACATTCAGGGTTAGGGGGTCAAAGTCAGTCAAACAACAGTCCTGTGCGCGTCATAAGACACATTGAAATAGCTTGAAGCGCCAGCCAGCCAGCGGAGCTCCCGTCTGGAGGTTGTCCTCCGCGACACGCAAAGTCCATCCGCAAATGACATCCGAGTGCACTTTCAATTTTATTCTTTCGCTTTTTGGGTGTGCTGTCCGCTGCCCGCCGGAATTCCATTAGACCTTCTATTAGCCGTGTTAGTTTGCTATGAAATTCAGTCCACAGGGACTGTGACTGTCAGAGGCTATTAGCGATATCCTAGGCTGCAATGGCAAAACTCTATTAGCCGTATTCCGGGACAGGCCAACCAACTGATTGAATCACTCAGAAGCTGTAGCCATGGAATGGTAGTTGGCACCATCCAGGTGGAAGTTTCGGGTGAAAAACTGAATGCGGGTAAATGTTTAGGGTGCAGAGAGCAGGCCTGCTGTTGCTCTCTGCCCGTTGGCAACTTTAACATTGCATTTACGCGGGAAAACGCATTTTCAGTTTGACAAAGAGTGGACGTGAAGGTGGATAGCTACAGGGACATCGGCAGGGGGACAGAAAGTAGAGTCAATAAGTCGGGGCTCTGGTGTGATGTCCAGCTCTCTCTCTCCCTCTCTGGGTTTATATCTCTGTGTGGTGTGTGTGTCTGTGTGCACATGCAGTGGCAGGCCACGTCAGGATGCTAGATGCATCCAATTGGAATTAAATGCCATCCATCAGATGCACTTGAATAAGCAGATTACCGGCCAGCGGTGCCACTGGCAAACCGTCAAGGACAGGAGCATAAAAATCAATTTTAAATGCAGTCATAATGTCGTGAAGGTTTGCGCGCTTCTATAACTCAATCAAAACTTCTGGGACCATACGAACAATTTATATTATAGAAATTTCCTGCTGCCGCTGCCGTTCATTAAGTTGCCCTGCTTCAATTGAGTTGCAATTTGAGTTTTCCTGCCCTGTCTCTGCCACTGTTGCTGTCGAGGCATGAAAATTGCACTTGGTCACAGGTCGAACATCATGCAAGGAATAACAACCACACCACCCACTGCACATGCACATTGTTTCAGGGGCTTAGCTTTTCTCAATTAACAAGTTTGTCGTGCCATACGCATAACAATGGACGAACCGACTGCCCGACCTAAGGGTGGGGACTGCTGCATGGCACTACGAGTCCGTATAGTAGATGTGCAGCTATGGCATTTCAAAGATTTCACAAACTCCAAGCATAATTCAATTAAGAGGAGCAAAAACAAAAGGGATTTCACTTTGTGTAGAGCTGCTCAGGATATTATTATCTGTATTTCAACACTCCGTAATGCTTGATTAAACATAATTGCCACAACGCAGAAACAATAGCTGTCGGGGATGTGCAATAATAATTGAAATCAAATTGCAACTAAAGAAGATTTTTAGATGCGGTTTTCCTGTATAGTCTGGACTCTAGACATTAACATGAATATATAAACCAATCAATGGCAGCTGTGAAAATAACTAAAAATAAATTTATGGACAGAAAGTATTTCCTTCGGTCTTAAAAACCATTTTATGCAGATGAGTTATCCGATTATACTGAAATAACTATTCCAATCACTTTTCTCTTGAAAATACTTATACCTTATACAATCGAAATTAAATTACGCAGAACAACAGATCAACAAAAACATTTAAACAGATTCCCAAAAAATAGAAGCAGCTTGCAGCAGCAAGCTCAAAGCTTAATTCAAACTCAAAGCAATGACCAACGGGGTTGACTGTCACTCACATTAAGGTTAATTCATAAAATAAACATACAAGTTCTCAGAGGTGAGGCCTCGAAAATGCAACAACCCACGCAAAGAGCCTGTGATTTTAGGGCACGTTATCTTTCACAGTCATCCATAAGATCTGCCAGAAACCTTTCCTAAGGGGACTTCAGCATGCAAAAATCTGTGCAACGGGACACCAAAATTAGGTCTCAAAGCTTTTCCTCGAAATGTGCATTGCCAGAGATAGAGAGAGCGAGCGTGGAGAGAGTGAGAACTGCTTGACATTGACATTGGAATCAGCACTATGACAGCAAGAGCAAGACAGAGAGAGAGACATAGAGAGAGCCCATTCTACTACACACAAGCAAAGCTTTGCAAGCTTTCTCTCTCCCACACGCTGGTGTGATGGACATTCTATAAAAGGCATCGCCTACTGCGCTGAGGCTGCATTCTCAAACAAAATGTGAACCAGGACTCTCCTCCTAAAAATAATTTTGCATTTGAACTCAAGCTGAATTTTTGAAATATCACACCGCGAAGCGATATAACTAAACGTTTTTTTTTCTAGAAATAAGTGCCATATTTTTTGTATTTTTTTTATACCTATAATTTGGTTGAAAATGCTCGGTCAGATAGTGGTTTCAATGTGCTGGACTTTTGTTGAATATCTAATTGAACCCCATCATGTTCTGGACGGCAGTGGCCTCGTCCACGATTTCATCATCCAGCACAGAGCCATCGGCGGCACTGGCCAGTGCAGCGCCAAACTATCAGCAGCTGCATACGAAGCCGTCGCTACGCTCCCTGACCAACAGCTGGCAGAATAGCAATGCAGCATTCAAGACGCGACTGCAACATCAGCAGCAGGAGCAGAAGGAGCAGATGCAACAGCAGCAGCAGGAGCAACAGAAGCTAAAGGAACAACAGCAGCAACAGCAGCAGGAGGCCTACATAGTTTCACAGCAGGATAAGCCACAGCATAAGCCAGCGGAGGAGCAGGATCAGCAGGCTTCAGCTGCAGTCGCCAAGAAGAAAATCGTACCAAAAAGTGAAAATACACGCAAAATATTTAAAGCTTTAGCCTCCTCATGCAAGTGCAAGAAAACTAAAAGTAAGAGAGCGTGAGAGATGGCTGCTGGTGGTGGAAGTGCAGGCAAAAACAAAGAGTTTAATAACTGTAAATGAACAGAGTGTGAGGGAGAGAGAGAGAGTGAGAGATTTAAAGCAGTCCGTCCGCGCGTGCATCCCAAATTGAAGTTCAATTAATTACTGAAACAACGCGTCCAGGAGTGTAAAACCAAAAGAGTTATTGCAATAAATGCTCATGGAAAGAGTTCGCATCAAGGATTGTAGCTAATTGGTGTCCAGTAGTGCAATACTGAGAGACAGGAAGACTGCAAATGAGAGGAGAGAAGAGAGGAGCCGCAAGCCCAAAACAAGAAACGCAATAACTCCCACAGCTGAGGACAAATTTTTGATGCATTTTCCCTCTAGACGATACGAAAAAACAAAAGTAGAGAGAGACCAACTAACAAACATACATCTATGTGCAAAACAAATATAATCTATCAAGTTGATATGACCGCTGGATAACTGCATACGCAAAAGGTAAGCCAGATGAGAGTAGAGGCGAAGAAAGTGCTTGATCAATAACAAGCAGGAGAGAGAGTAGAGTAGAGAGTGGGAAATTTATCTCAATGAATGCAGTATTTTCTTCCCACGGTTTCTGAAAACAAGCAGTGTGAAGTTCATCTTGGTTTATTTATTAAAGCAGTCAGAAAAGAATATTTAAGATGTTTCTTTTCTAAAGACACGAAAATCAAGACATCATCCACTTTGATATTTGCAATCAGTCGCTTTTTTTTAGAGACAATTTTGTTTATATGTACATATGCGTTTACAAATCATATGTCATAAATCCCAAAACATTTCACATTTCCTCATCCATCAAAGTTTTGCTTTGATTTCAGCTGAAGGCTAATTTGCATGATTGAAGCGTGGCAGCAGCCCACACATCAATCAAAAAGGTCGATTGCCCGCAAAAGTATGCTAATTATTTGTCAACTCTTCTCGCAAAACCCACAGAATACCCACAGATACCTTCCACAAAACGGGTGACAACTGTACGCATTAGACTCCTTTTAAGACCCCCCTTTGGTTTCTGTTTATTAATTTTGCCAAATGAATTTCTGTGCTATGTATTTCTTGTGCTCTGTCTGGTACTTCCTGGAAAATTAGAAAAGCGTGCCTGGCATTTCCAAGGACACAAATTACTGAGTGTCAGATGGGGGTGAGGAGTTTCCATTATATTCAGTTCAAGTCGCTTAGCTATTTCTGTTATTTGTTGGATGGCCCTCGACTTGACCATAATATGGGAACTACTTGGCTAATTTTCCCGCAATTGCAGCTGTTTGTAATACTCGTAATTGAAAGCCTTCTACTGCACTTAATGTGTGCCACAAGGTTAGTAACTTTTTTGCCTATTCCGTGGGCAAATGGTTTAGGAATCTATTGGTAAGAATTCAAAATTATCACAAGCATTAGAGGATGACTGATTGGAAAAAGATTAATCTTTTAACTGCAAACTGTCGTTGGGTTGATATTGATTAAATATTCTTTGCACGTTGACATAGTCATTAACATCGAAAATACCATTCTCCTGGCTCCTCGATTATGACAATTAGAGCAAAGGGGAAGTTGCGGACAAGCCATCCAAGGTGACGCACAAACATGTATTACATTTTTATATCCTGCCACAAGCGCAGACATAAAAGCCAAGTTCCAGTGTCCAACAGATCTGACAACGGCACAAGGAACAAGTGCGAAAAAGGATCCACCGCCCCCCACAAATTGCTTATCGATTTACACGTATTCTTTTGCTTCTGTTATGAACTTAAACCAAATCCTTGCCCTGCATTTCTGTTGACGCATTTCTAGGGGGAAAACTTTCAATGCAGAACTGCAAGCGACAGAAGGAACCATTACATTTCTGAATAATTTAATGGTCCAAATTGTGCGAAATGTAAATGGAAATGGCCCTCATCCTGCCTGATGTTTTCAAAACCTTTTCTATAAATGCATTTAACAGAACAAGAACGAAGAAATCAATTATAGTAATTAAACTGGTGTCGATGAGCCATGAACCAAGGTTGGCATTTCATAAAACATAAAGCTTATTAGTGAAAAGTTTTTCGCATTTCCACAGTGGTTTAATTTTTAATTTAATTCTTTAATTGTATGCGTTAGTATTAGCAGTTGAAAGCCCTTGACATCTGATATAAATAAATGGGAGCATGCACAAACATCAAGGACCATTCTCAACTCAGACAAAAGGGGATTCGAGGCGGCAGTTCCGCTTCTCATGGGCGACAAAACATCTGACAACAAAATGTGCAACAGGGCGTATAAAAAATGCATGTGGGAGATGACGGGAGTGCAAAAAATTCCTCATGCCGCTGCAAAAAAATTTATGAAAATCTATTTAAATTGAAATATAGAAAATCAGTGCTAGCTCAGAAAAGATTTTAATGCATAAACTACTAGAAACGTATAATTAACTATCAGATTTCTCTCCTCGGGCCTCGGGAACCCATAAGCCAACAATTTTTGACCCAGAAAATTTGTTTTACCGCATATAAAGTTTGTTTAATTAACATTTAACTCCCAAGCGGCAAGGACACTTGATAGACAGGTTTTATATGCATTTTTTATTTTTATTTTTAATTAAAAATCTGACCTGATGGATAAGCTTTGGTTGCCTCGAACGCACCCACCACACGTTTCGGTTGCAGTGGGCGAATTCTTGAAATAATATTTCTTTCGGTAAGAGGAGGTAAATATTTCAAGTATAAACTTCATGTTGGGAATTTATTTGATTAAGAATGTTCCCATAATTGCAGAGTTACATAAGTATTCCCCTATGTATATATCTGACAGGGCATATTTCGATTCAATTTCAATATTTGCAAGCAGAGCACAAAAATGGGTAAAGAAAAATGTGTACAGAGAGGAGTCATAACTGTAAGCGTGAATATGATATGAGAAAAGGGAGACAAAAAACACAGAGGAAACAATTTAAGAGAAGCAGAGGGGCTAAGTAGGGAAGCGGCAGGCACTTCAATGAGTGGACAACAGGTCTGTCATTTTGTACGCTGAGTGAGGAAGCTTCTATGTTATTATGGAGTAGATTTTCAACGCTGTCATCCTGTTGCCCTGACCTTGTTGCACAGTGCCAAAGCAATCGCTAAAGACAACGCCAGGCATTTATTTGCATAATTTCAAAGTAAAAGGGGGAACGCAATGTGCATACAAACTCGTAGGTGGGCGTAAATGGGCGAAGAATACAAATGTGCATAAAGTGCATAAGGAAAGCAGGGAAAAAGGTTTAATCGTATGAAATGCCGAAAACGTGCTCTTGTCCAATGGAGAGGAAAAGAATGGGCTAGCTAAAATAGAGAAAATATGTGAGAGAGACAGAGAGAGTTCTGAGAGGGGAACAAATGCAGATGGTCACCGGCAATATTTGCCAGAGCACAGGCAAAACAAGTCTTAAAGTGACCAGGAAAAAAAAATCGGTACTTTGCATTTTAATTATTCTTCCTATTCGAAACTCTTTCTTCGACTGATTGGCTGTCCTCTTTTACCCTTTAAACAGACGAAACAGAATGGACATTCCCAATGAGCTTGTGCCGCTGCTCAGCTGCAATCTGTGCGGTCTATTCTATGCCGTAGAGGGTGGACGTGTGCCCAAGATGCTTAGCTGCCAGCACTGCTACTGCAAGGATTGCCTGGACAATGAGCTGCTGTGGCCGGCAGGGCCCTCAGCTGGTTCAGAGTGGGCCTGCGGTAAGTGCGGAGTGCGCACCAAAGTGGAGCCCGAGTTGCTGCCCGAACCGGAGTCGATCATGTATTTGATACGCAATCTGCGGGCCCTGAAGTTGGGCCAAGTTATGATGGCGATGCAAGAGGGACACAGCCGCACGAACCCTCTGACAGTTGATGTTGGAGCCGCGGCGACTGCACACACATCCTGGCTGGATGATAGCGGTGTGAGCCGTTTTTTGTCGAACAGCAGCGAGCAGTGCCTGACCCATGGACGGCCCAACACCACGTGGTGCCACAACTGTCGACATCTGATGTGCATCGCCTGCTCCGAGCTGGCGGCACATTTCCAGCATCAGCTAACCCACCATCTGAACCTGCCCGAACTGGTCCACCAGTTGCTCTGCAACGAGATGAACAAGATCAAGAGGGCGTGCAAAGATGCCGATGCTCTGGCCGGCCACGATATGGCCATGCTTCGGGATCTGTTTGATGCCTGCCACCAGCTGCAGAATCATGTGAGGAGAGAGATGGTGATGCACAAGCCCAGCACGACGTCCTTCCACATGAGGGACTGGTGGGTGCGCTCCGATACGCTGCTCCATCACCTGTCGCGGGAGGGTGCACTCGGCGCCTACGAGCTGCATCAACTGCTGAGCCGTGCCTCCGTGCAGGTGAAGTTATGCCGCAAGCAGCTTTTGCAAATGCGCTTCCAGTCTCAGCTGCGCGCCATCATACAGGAGAATGGAATGCAGGTGCTGACCTTTCAGCAGCTCAACGATCGCCTGTTGGATATACAGCGGTGTCCTAATCCGCCGCAGGATATAGCCGGAGCCGGAGCCGGAGCAGGAGCTGCACGTGCAGTGGCGCCAGCTTTGATGCTGACCAACTACTGCATCTACACGTACTGGCAACAAATGCAGCAAGAGGAGATGCAGCGCCCTGAAGAGCAATCTCTCTTTCCTGTGCCAATGAATAGCATGTGGCAGATGGAGCCTCTGGAGCCTCTGGAGCAGGCCAACCTCAACTTTCCTCATCCGGCAGCTCAGCTCTTCAACAATGACTACAATCGCCTGAATTTGGGGCTGCTGCTTGGACAGAACAACGCTCAGGCACAGCCACAGTCCAATGGCTACTCCGCCTCATCCTCCGTGGTACAACAGGATGGGCACAGCCAGGCGACAGTCGGATTGGTAAGCATTGGGCGGTTGCCCTCAGCACACTGTTATCCCATATATTATATGGACATGGAAATAGCAGGGCAGCTGGTCGGGCGAGTACTAATCGAAGTGAACAAGGATGCTGCGCCCCGGATGGCCGAGAACTTTGGCTCGCTGATGCGGCAGGATCGCGGCTTTGGCTATCGGGGATGCGTAGTGTTTCAGGCCTGGGGCAATGAGAGCATCATCACGGGGGACTTTGAGTCGCAGAACGGTCGCGGCGGGCATGCCGCCTTCGAGGAACGTTTCTTTATGCCGGACAACACAGGACTCGCGTGCAACCGGGGAGCGGTTGGCATGCGGCGAAGTCAGAGGCGACACGACCATTACGGACTCGTCGGCAGCCAGTTCCGGGTGCTGCTCAACGAACATCAGACATTTACGGCCATATTTGGCTACATCATCGATGGCATCGAAATGATTGACCGAATCGCTGCCACTGGCAACCCGCTCGGACGTCCTGGCATGCGATCCATCATCAAAGCCTGCGGCGTGTACCGTGTTCCTGAAGGAAATAAGAAACGACCGGACCAACCTTTTTCCCCATGAGCAGCCCCACTACACGGATCTACTATATACAATTTTTGAGATGCTTCGTTAAATATATAACAAATTATATATGCTAGGATGTAAGACTCTCCCGTTTTTGAGAATGAAATCTCTTTGATGTCCGTTTTTTTTATTACAATATTGTACAATACTGTCATACTATAATATTGTTCTTTTGATAAAAATAGAACAAAACAGAAGAAAAAAAACAGCCAAATTGTCAAAAACAAAATAAGACTTGTGAAACTTTTTGAAATATTTTACAAAACGAAATAATAATTCCAAACCAAACTTAGAAAGCGAGAGACGAGAGAGAGAGAGAGGATAATAGATAATTAAGAGCAACATTTGGAGGCTGTTTTAATAATAACAAAATATTATCTTTGATTTTCTTCTATGAATATAAAAGTCACTTTGGAAATGCTAAGCGAAGTTCGTGAAAAAGTCCAACTGGAAATTGTTTGGTACACAATTTTACTAGATTTAAGTTAAATATAAAACACTTTGCAGGTGTTTCAAGCGCTACGACGTTACCTGCCCATAAGTTAATTACAATAAACAAAAAGAGACGCGTAGGTAGTAAGTATATCAGAATAACGCATGACGCATAAATACACGCAAAAGAAATCTCATAATTATCAAGAACATTGTGTGAAATATCAGACGATAAATCAACAGCAACACTGTATTTTTAGTTAAACATCAAACATTTAATTAAAGTCTCTCAGCCACATACAAAATATCCTTGCCATATACGATGAAGATGTCCTTACACTACCTTCTAGAATCTGGATATACATACATAAGTAAGGTAAGGTTCTTCTCCACAAGAAACTCTGTATGTACGTCTCTGTCGATATTGAAAACTAATCAATAAGAACCTCTATGTAAAAACAGGAGATAGGTGAAATCTTTCGTAGATATAACTATAACTATATTTACAGAAGATTTATCGAATTGGAAGAGCAACAAACTCAACAGCGAGCTAAAACGATTTACCATAAGTAAATATTTGATGTCTATGTAGCCATGGCATCTTTTTTTGTGACCATTATAAAGAAATTGTGTGTGATTAACAGAAAATATACTAGTGCTCGATATACGTTCTAAAATCGTTCTATATCATTAACAAGGAACAAGTGATTTCATTTAAATCAAACTTAAATCGACGGATCAATTGAAGTTTCGAAGTTTTAGGCTTTGATTTTAGTATTTAAGTAAAGATAGCGAAATGTTTGAGTTGGGTTTAGGCTGACTTCGATTTACAATTTGATTTTTAATTTAGCAAATTAGTTACCTGAAGAATCTTTAAATTTATACTCGACTTTTAGTAGAATCATTTATTAAAAACATGTTTAGAAATTCAAATGGAACGAATGTATTATATTTTAATTAATTATATTAATATTTGATCAATATTTAAAAGAATTCGAAATATGTTATACATATTTGTTTTAAACAAATTCGTGGAATTTAAATGAATATTTTGAAGCAATCAAACTATTAAATATAAATCGGGAGTTCTTTGCGTTCAAATATATCACATTTCAAAGTAATGTTTAAGCAAATTATACTTTAATTCAAAAATTTGAGATCGAGATAACTATAAGTCAAAACGACAACCATCGACAGGTTGAAAAAATGTGAATCAAAAACGTGGAAATGTCTCCAAAAGTTTGCTCAAAGGGCAAATCAAATATTCGAGTATTGCTAAGATCTATTCGTTGTAATTAATAATTGGCATGGAAATTTGGCAAAGCGCCGCCCCACAGAGCAATGATGCGAAGTACAAACCCAAGCGGCGAAGGGAGAAAACGAATAAAAGATCATTGAAATTCCAGAGCAAAGGATTGAAAAATCTAAAACCCAACACAGAATTTAAATGTTATATAAGTGTTGAATGTCCATTTATAATCCTAACTTTACATAGCACCTAAGCAATAATTGAAATTTAATCCCTGTTCGAGTTGGTGTCTAAATATGCAATTTGGTTTAAATGTGGAAAGTTTTCAATAAATGTTGCTGAGCCCCAAGAACGGAATGATTATTTTTGTTGTATCACTCACCTTGTAGAAGACATCTGGAACATACTGCTTATCTGTGGACTCGCGCACATAGCCCAATTCGGGAGCCTCCTTAGTGGGTATCAGACAATCATCACGGACCAGAGCCATGCACTGGGCAGACACTGCATATCCCTCCATATGCACTTGTTTGGTTTTATCTCCTACGTACAAATAGAATGTCAGTTTAACACTAAAATCGAACTGAATTGTTGGTAAGCACTTACCCGTCACACAAATGGTCACAAACTTAGAGCCAAAGACGCCATTTGAAGCATATTTACATGGATTGGGATGACGATTCTGCAACTCTCCGGCTGTTATGCACTCCTGCGCGGTGAGGAAATGTGTCTCAATGCCACGAATCTGCTTGACAGTACCCGCAGATGCATCATCCGTGATGAGATCAGTGAATATCCAACCAATCTATAAAAAATACGAACGAACATTTAGTGTAAAGCAAAGAGAGCCAAAAGAGGCTTTCCCGCTCACCTTCTTCAGTCCTAACGCTTCGGCCACGGCATCGACTTCGTTGGCACCTTCATCGGGGAACATATTGATAGAGTCTCGTGTCGATTCCTGCGGTGGCTCATAGATCGCTGCCACCGTGGCGCGTATGCCAAGCGGTACATCCGTATGCTGCTCATATGTACCATACAAGTAGCCCATACGCTGGTGGCCAGTGGTGCGCCAGTAGTTTAGGAAACGCTCCACAATTTTGGTATTCTCGAACATGACATTGTCCACATGGCGATAGGTCTGACGATTCAGGGTTATGGCCGATGGCTGACACTTGGAACATATGCCCTTGGGCCATGGTGGATGATCCCTGCAGCCGGTCTTGATGCGGCAATTGATGTCATCGAACACAAAGTATTTGCCATGATCCATGCCCGATGTCTGCTTGCGTATATACGAATGAAATGACAAGTGCTTGATGTTATTCTCCTTCAAATATGCCTCATTGTAGGGTTCCAGCGGCGAGCAATGAACACAGCGGCCATTGGCATTGTGATGGCAGCTGTAATGAATGGATTATTAGATTATAGCTTCATAGAAGGAAAGAGAACTTGAAGCTTACAGCTTGCTATCGCGTTCGCGCTTAATAGTGCCATCGGCTTTGGTCAGGGTCTGGTCAACCTCATCCTCGATCACATTAATGGAGGGCCGAGCGCTGTTCGTGTTGCTGTTGCTCAGCTTTTCGCTAGCTGTAGATGCCTGGAACACCTGACTGTCAATGGCAATGGTGCTGGTGCGCTGCAAACAGAAAATTGAATATGAAAATCCATAGTCACTCCAAAGGTAAAACACTCTACTTACCCGCGATGAAGTGCCAGCCATTTGTTTTAAGTAAATCAAGTCGCCATGCTTCAGTGCGTTTCCCACCAGCTGGGAGCCACTGGCCTGCAGTTCTGTGAGAAAATTCCGCTCCTTGAACAGACCGAATCCATCGACTTGCAGGGCATTCTGTACACTGTCGTAGAGTTGCTTCAAATTTGACTTGGGTGAGATCTCAATGCGTTTGATGCCCTCCGCAGACTGCACTCTCACAAGCTGTAATAGAAAAGGATAATTAAATTATCAATTAGTTAATTCGACTTGGTTTTTTAGGGGAAAATCAAACCGATTGTTTGCATAACAGAAACAGACGATGGCGGGCGAAGGCATAAACCAAATTGCGTTTTTTGTATAGAAGGTTCTCAAGCATCAGAGGAGCACTGGCCATGTCGTAGTGCTGGTTTGGGTACTGGTTACTGGGTGCTGGTTGCTGGGTCCTGGGTTAGGTGTGTGGTTGGGTGGTGGTTGGTGTGGGTGGTGTGGGTGGTGGTCGTAAGTGTAGCTTTGGAAGCTACTAAGGCCTTAAAAGGCCTCTATTTGTTTAGTGTTTGGGAACTGTACGTCATGCAGGCGCAAAGTTGACTGTGACAATTTGCTGGCAGCGCAATAAAAACAAATTCATTTGGGTGCCAAAATGTGCCAGAGAGAACCCAACCCGACCATTCCGATTCCTCAATCTCACATTTCCGCATTTGCATTAAATGATGCATTTGTGCTCTTCCCATCTCTCTTAATGTGCCAACAATCTCTTTTCTGCCAAATATGTATTTAGATTTCGTTCGAAACTAAAAACCTTTACGTCTCCCTCTGTACCACCGCTACCCCAGCGACTTTTCGTGCACTTTTACATTCAAAATCTACAAGTCATTGTACAATTAATTTTGCCGTCTGCTTTGCATGGAGGTATTACCAAAACAAAACCTATATTTTATACACTTATCAGACCACATGCACAGCCTTCGGCAAAAGCGCAGCACACATTTTCACATGCACTTTCCATAATATCAAAGTTTTCCAAAAAAATTAGTTTTTCTGCCGAGCAACGGGGCGACAGAAACAACAACAACGCGGCGGGTCGACTTCCTTTGCCGGCTTTTTGGGCTACGTGTTCTTTCCAGGGATTGGGAAACACTTTGCAGACACTTCACAAACGTGCAAGTGGTTTACAGGACACTGAATTAACACATTTCATATTGTTATTAACAATTTACTTACAATTTTATCGGACATTGTCGGCTATTGTAATTCCGTGTGGTGTGACCGCAGACATAGCGATCAAATATACCTCCGGATCCTCAGAAATATACCGAAATATACCTTCTCATTTCCAAAATATACCATAAATATAATAAATATACCATAATATATAAATTATAAAAAATATACACTTTGCGCCCCAGTTTAAACGCAGATTAAACACTACAGTTTATAGATAAGTCATCACTGACCTGAAGAAAAAATGGAGAGTTTATTGTCGAAACACTATTTTGTACTGAGAAGAAAAAATTTGAGTTATTTATTGTTGGAACACTATTTTGTGTTACATTTCTATGGATACAATTGAATGGCAGTGGCCCTTTGGCTGGTCAATCAGTCACACTTCTTGTGGCACCAGTCCCAGATGCAGCCATCGTCCGCATTGCAGCCGAAACCGCTTGGATAGATGCCGCAGTATTCCTGGGAGTCCATGAAGGCGCAACTGCCATTGGGACAGTAGTAGCTATAGCAGCCCGGGGAGCATTTGTCTCGCTGGTTGTGCTTGCAGCCAGAGCAGTCCAGGAATTCTGCAATTGAAATCGAATGAAATTAATGATTAATGGAACCGACTGGTGGCTCCTCTCACTCACCACTCTCCTTGCACTCGGGCGTGCTGCAGGCCTGCAGCGGCGGATTGGGCGGCATCACGAGGCGTCTTCGGTTCTCGCTTTCGACAATCTGCGGCGGCTTGAGGTAGATCACCGGATGGGTGCACACGCGGGCATCGCACAACTTGCGCTCCCGACTGGAGCAGACCCAATTGGGTGCGTAGTTGATGCAGACCCGAGGACTCTTCACCACACAGCAGCCCGGCGGTGGATTCCGTCCCGGAAAGACATCAGGTGTCGCTGGCCGAAGCGTCGTTGTTGATCTTGGTGTCTGCCCACTGGGATAGAGCCAAGGACGGTGTGTGGTTGTCGTTGTATAATGGTATTCCTCGGGCTTGGTGCTGGCATCGTAGCTCTTGTCGTACGACCCATCGTACGGCCGAAGTGTGGAGTATTCCACACGATTGATGTTCTCGCTGGCCACCGTATACTCGTGCTGGTTCCGGATCACGTTGTCGATCTCCAGTACGGTAGTGATATAGCCCGGCTCCTGGCAGGTCCTGCGGTGCCACACGGTGCCCGGTGGACAGGCCGGGGACAGGCAGCGTCCTTCGTAGTACTCACCCTCCGAGCAGACAATCCTGCGGCATTGCTCCTCATAGAAGATTGAGCCGGGCGGACAGCGTGCAAGCTGCACTGGAGGTTCAAGTATTGGTGGCAGCTCAATTGGTGCTGGTGGTGGCGACTCTGTGGATGTGGTTGTTGTTGCTGTGATAGTGGTGGGTTTTTCTGTGGTTGTCGTCGTCGTGGTCGTGGTGGGTTTTTCTGTGGTTGTCGTCGTCGTGGTCGTGGTGGGTTCTTCTGTGGTTGTCGTCTTCGTGGTGGGTTCTTCTGTGGTTGTCGTCGTCGTGGTGGGTTCTTCTGTGGTTGTTGTTGTCGTAGATTCAAACGGACATGGCAGCGGATCCGTCAAATAACACATGCCATCCGCGTTCAGATAGTAGCCTGAATGAAAGATATCAAATATTTAGAGTGATTATTTGATGCAGGTGAGGGAGGAGGAACGTTGTGACACGCTTCTAAACACGCGTCACTACTTCGAGACCATCCTCTGACCGCACTTACCGGTGGGGCACAACATCGCATTTCGGGGATGGCACTGTCCATCTGAGCCCAAGGTGTAGCCTGAAATGACAAAACAAAAGTGTAAGGTTGAATGGACATTGCTCCTACTCCAACACTGCTTACCCGCGGGACAATTCAAGAAGCTGTAGCAATTGCCATTGACATTCTTATAGCCAGGCGGACAGTTGTCCTACGAATAAGGATCGAAAAGTCAAAAGGTTTCTATTTCATTTATGGAATGTGCTCTGAGCTAACCGTTTCGGCTGTCTGATAACCCAGGGCACTGCCGAAGAGCGCCCAAACAAACATCCAGCACCAGAGCTTGGCTTTGGGTCGGGGCAATGTCGTCAGCATATTTAAATAAAATGTCTAATCCGGAACCGTTGGCTGTCGACTGTCGGCGGGTTTGTTTCGATGCTCCACTGTCCGATCCCAAGACGCGACTAACGCGGAATCGCGAACACAAATGGCGCACACACACACGCCCTGAACATAATTTTCGGCGTCGCGATAACCCCCCCCGATAGCTGTCGGTGGAGGTGAAGGTGTCCGTTCAGATTGCATCACCATTGTTATGATAGTAGAATCAGATCGGAGCGCCATCTCTCATCAGTTCCACTCGGCATGTCGACCACCCAAGTGCTTAATTCCCGCCTGCCGCTGCTGCTGCTACTGCTGCTGGCAGTGGTTCAGTTTCCGCCGGAGGTTACTGCGGACAGTGCACCGTGCACACCGACAATCAATGTCGTTGCGAGTCCCAATTACAATCCCGCCAATCCATGCGGCACAGGTGAGTCGATTGAAAGTTGCCCATCCGCTTCATATTTCATCACTAATCCGCTTTATAATCTCAGGTCAGATCAACTCTGGGTACAGCACCATTGTGAATGTTCTCACTGGTGCCAGCAATGGACAAACTGCAACAGGGTGCGGCCCTGCAGCTCAGTTTCCAGCGCCCCCTGCGACGAGTCCTTGTCCCAATGCTCCTATCCAACCGAATCCTTGTCCCACTGCTCCAATCCAGCAAAATCCTGACCCCACTGCACCTCTTCAGCCGAGTCCGAATCCTCCTGTGAATCCTTGTCCAAATATTCCATTGAATCCTTATCCAAATCCTCCAGTGAATCCTTATCCAAATCCTCCTACTTCCGCGAATCCTTGTCCGAATCCTCCAGTGAATCCTTATCCCAATCCTCCAGTGAATCCTTGTCCAAATCTTCCATTGAATCCTTATCCAAATCCTCCTACTTCCGCGAATCCTTGTCCGAATCCTCCAGTGAATCCTTATCCCAATCCTCCAGTGAATCCTTGTCCAAATCTTCCAGTGAATCCTTATCCAAATCCTCCAGTGAATCCTTATCCCAATCCTCCAGTGAATTCTTATCCCAATCCTCCAGTGAATCCTTGTCCAAATCTTCCAGTGAATCCTTATCCAAATCCTCCAGTGAATCCTTATCCCAATCCTCCTACTCCCGCGAATCCTTGTCCGAATGCTCCTGTTCATCCTACGCCCAACTACCCCACCTCCAGTCCTCCACCCACATATCCAACACCAACAACCACGCCATCACCAACTTATCCACCTCCCACCTATCCACCACCGCCCACGTATCCAACACTTCCACCAACAACCACGCCCCCACCTGCACCCATCATGCGGTGTCCACCGGGAACGATTCTAATTAGTGGCACCTGTCGCCTGGTCTACTGTGCAACAGGACGCTATATGAATGGGCGTTGTGTGCAGACCCAATGCCCTCAGGGACATGTGTGGACGGGCCTGCGATGTGACAGACCGAAGATCACGGAGCTGGGACCCATCCACCTGGAGACGACGGTGCTCAGCAAGGCAACGGGCCAGTTGGTGACAAACAACGTGAACAACGTGCAAGTGGATGCGCCCATATCGATACCCGGTTATGACTACGATGCTGAAGAAGAATATGTGGAGGATGTGGTCACTCCTCCGTCCAGACCAGCATCCGGATGTTGCAATGTGATTGCTCCACGTATCTGCAGCGGCCCAGCCAACGGCGCGGGTGGCTACAAATGCGCCAGCCGCAGCCAGCAGCAGTGCGGCAGCATCTGTCAGGCCAACAAGATGGTACTGGCACCCTCGCAGCTCACCAGCTGGACGACGAACAACAACCAGATGCTGGCAATGCCCCCAAACTGGGCACAGGGCCAGCCGTGCCAGGCCACTGGATCGTGCCAGCAGACTCAGAGTATGATTCTATATAGAACTCCGTGATATTTCATTATACCTTTTTACATTTTCCTTTCGCAGATTACTACGATTGCAGCGGATGTGGCAGTGGCGAAATGAGCACCTGCTCCACGTACTGTTATAATTACCGTTGCAGCGGACATGACTGCGCCTATTATGATCAGGCACAATACTGTGCCCAGTACTCAGGACAGGTCGGATGCCGCCAGGAGGATGGCTGGTTCCCATGATCCCGAATGAATATTACCGGAAGGAAAATTGTTATAAAGTTGCTATTGTGAATAAATTATTACTTTTCAAGTTTCAAGTGTGCCCGCTGACTTATCGATATACATACCGTGACCTTACTATTTTCCAAATTTACCGTATATACCGCGTTTTCAACTATTTGCAGCACCAGTTACTAGTCAGTATTTACTGCGCTTCATATTAAATACCAACTTGTTGTCACTTCAAAGGCGCGCACATTTAAATTCGTATGTCGGTTTATTGATAATTTGTGCACATTTATTTCTATAGCGGCGTGATTTACAAGTATACAACAAACAACAACTTTGCATTTTAACTAATGGAAGACTGCATATGAAAGCATAGGCTGGGGACTACTCGGCCCTCAATCGTACTTCAGATTTCCCATGCAAATGTACTTAATATCCACATAATCGTCGATGCCGTGCTTGGAGCCCTCGCGTCCGACGCCCGACTCCTTGACACCGCCGAATGGCGCCTCTGCGGCCGAGATCATGCCCTCGTTGACGCCCACCATGCCCACCTCCAGGCGCTTGGCCACCCGGAAGACCTGCTGCAGATTCTCGCTGTAGAAGTAGCCGGCCAGGCCGCGCCTGGTGTCGTTTGCCTTCTGGATGGCTTCCGGCTCGTCCTTGAAGCGGATGATGGAGACAACGGGGCCAAACACCTCCTCCGTGTAGAGCTGGGCCGTGGGCGGCACATCCGTAATGATCGTGGGTGCATAGAAAAGCGGCCCAATCGATGGCAGAGGCTTGCCACCGGTTATAACGCTTGCCTTCTTGCTGCGCGCATCTTCCACAAAGCCGCTGACCTTCTTGAACTGCATCTGGTTGATGAGGGGTCCGATCTGAACATCGCACGACTGGCCATCGCCGATCTTGAGCGCCTCCACGCGCTCCTTCAGCTGCGACACAAACTTCTCATAGACGCCGTCCTGCACAAAGAATCGATTGGCCGAGACGCAGGTCTGGCCGCAGTTACGGAACTTGGATGCCATGGCTCCCTCGACGGCCTTCTCCACATTGGCAGAGTCGAAGACAATGAATGGCGCGTTGCCGCCCAGTTCCAGGCAGACCCGCTTGATGCCATCGGCCGAGTTGCGGAACAGCAGCTTGCCCACCTCCGTGGATCCGGTGAAGGAGATGCCGCGCACGTCGGGACTCTTGCAGAAGAGATCGCCAATGGGGGCTGCCTTGTTGGTGGTAACCACATTGATCACGCCGCTGGGAATGCCAGCTTCCTCGGCCAGTTTGGCCACAGCCAGAGCTGTCAGCGGTGTGTCCTCCGATGGCTTCACCACAACGGTACAGCCCGCAGCCAGTGCGGCGCCAGCCTTGCGTGTGATCATGGCCAGTGGGAAGTTCCAGGGTGTGATTAGGGCTGCCACACCAATGGGCTGCTTCATCACAATGATTTCCCTATTGGCCACAGGACTGGGTATGATCTCGCCGTAGATGCGACGAGCCTCTTCCGCGAACCATTCGACAAAGGCGTTGCCGTAGGCCACCTCCCCTTTGGACTCGTTGATGGGCTTGCCCGACTCGGCGGTCATTATCTCGGCTATCTCCTGTGTATGCTGCTCGATGAGTTTGTGCCACTTCTGCAAGGTGCGCGATAAGCCTTATCAGAATTATCTCTATTCGTGGACTGGGCGCTCCACCCGAACCGGAACTCACCTTCAAAAGGTTGGAGCGATCTTTCGCTGTCAGCGAGCGCCACTCCTTGGACTCGTAGGCCTGCTTGGCGGCATTGATGGCGTCCTGGGCATCCGACACGTTCATGTTGGGCACATGACCAATCACCTCGCCGCTGGAGGGATTCCTCACCTCGAAGGTGGCACTGCCGCTGGCTTCTATCCAGTTGCCATTGACAAGAGCCTTGCTCTGCACCAAAGCTGAGAGACTGCGCATTCTGCTGAAGCTGCTGGTTCTGGTTGTGATGGTGTTGAGGTGTCGCCACATTCTGCCGGCCAAATCAATAAACAAACAAGCAAATTAACAATCGGCTACAAATCGATTCAGTTGTTGCAGCAAGCCGGTTCTCCCTCACCTTGCTTTTGCTCAGTTATCAGGTAGTTTCTTAAACTCTTATCTAAACCGGAATCAGGGCAATTCGCTGGGTGCCAACAGCAGTTGTTTTTGCCTTTTACTTAGCGCCTTTGATTGATTTTAATTGATTTTAATTCTAATTAAAAAATATACACTTTGCGCCCCAGTTTAAACGCAGATTAAACACTACAGTTTATAGATAAGTCATCACTGACCTGAAGAAAAAATGGAGAGTTTATTGTCGAAACACTATTTTGTACTGAGAAGAAAAAATTTGAGTTATTTATTGTTGGAACACTATTTTGTGTTACATTTCTATGGATACAATTGAATGGCAGTGGCCCTTTGGCTGGTCAATCAGTCACACTTCTTGTGGCACCAGTCCCAGATGCAGCCATCGTCCGCATTGCAGCCGAAACCGCTTGGATAGATGCCGCAGTATTCCTGGGNGAGCGATCTTTCGCTGTCAGCGAGCGCCACTCCTTGGACTCGTAGGCCTGCTTGGCGGCATTGATGGCGTCCTGGGCATCCGACACGTTCATGTTGGGCACATGACCAATCACCTCGCCGCTGGAGGGATTCCTCACCTCGAAGGTGGCACTGCCGCTGGCTTCTATCCAGTTGCCATTGACAAGAGCCTTGCTCTGCACCAAAGCTGAGAGACTGCGCATTCTGCTGAAGCTGCTGGTTCTGGTTGTGATGGTGTTGAGGTGTCGCCACATTCTGCCGGCCAAATCAATAAACAAACAAGCAAATTAACAATCGGCTACAAATCGATTCAGTTGTTGCAGCAAGCCGGTTCTCCCTCACCTTGCTTTTGCTCAGTTATCAGGTAGTTTCTTAAACTCTTATCTAAACCGGAATCAGGGCAATTCGCTGGGTGCCAACAGCAGTTGTTTTTGCCTTTTACTTAGCGCCTTTGATTGATTTTAATTGATTTTAATTCGCAGCTGGCCGCTTCTAGGGCTGTAAAATATATATCAAAAACCAATATATCGATATTTAAAAAAAAATAAAAATACATTTATATCGTGATCTTTATTTTATTTTAATATATTATTTGGTATTTATGTATATGCATAAAATATACCGATATACAACAGATAAGTAAACAAACTTAGCTCACTGAACCTCTACTCAAAATCATATTGTTCAATTTTGATATTCGCATCAATATTGCCAGCTAACTAAGATTCTCAGCGCTGAGCACATAATTTCATCCAACTGATGACTCAATTCTCTATGTCGATTTGATTGTTATATCAAATATGGTTGAAACTAAAAAGTCAACGGTGTGCATGGACAGGCATTAGCACGTCTCTTTTGTTTCATATCAACCAGCTTTTGTGAGCTGAGTGAGCGGCGGCCGTTGGTGTTTTAAATTGGAAAAACCTAATAAAGAGAGGAAAAAAGAAAAGAAAGTACACGCTTGCTTCCTGATTCCCATTTTTAGCGGTTACTTTTTAGTGCTTTTTTAAGGCAGCTTGTCCAGCGCCACTTGTCCTAGCAATCTCTGGACAATCGATGTCGCTGCCTTTCGCTTCATCTGCGCGGGTCTGCCTCTTTGCATGCGCCGCGGACCATGGACCGTGGACCATGGACCATGGACCGTGGACCGTGGACCGTGGAGTGTGCTCCATTTATTATGCACCCAGACCACATCAACATCATAGATTTCCCCCATATGCCGGCAGCGGCAAGGCAAGCCTTGGCTTTCGACAGTGGCAGGTTCCTGCCTACTGTGTCTACCTTCTGGTCGTGCAGCTTCCTCCCCGACCAGCTCATGTGGTTGTGGCCTTCCCTTGGCCCAAGTGCGCGCCAATCTGTGTTGCAAATTTTGTCAATAAATTTTGGCTTAGAATGCCAAAACAAGCGGCCGGGCCGCTCCTGCCACTGCTGGACATCATAACTGTTAAGATAAGATTGCCTAGATCGGAATCGGGACGGAGCACTCATAAATGCATTCAATTAGTTCTGATTTAAAACTAATTGAAAATGCGTCAAGCGAAGCTGCAGGGGCGGAGCAGAGTATGTTGCACGCTCCACTGGCTGCACCTCCTGGCACTCTGCCTGTCGAAAGGTGTTTAAGTTATTTGTCTTAAGTGCTGCCTGCAAGATGTGTGCGGATGGACAGGCATGTACTCGCGATTGATTGCGATTGCCAAACTATGTAGATCTTGCGGCGAAGACCCTCATCTAATGAAGTAGTCAGCACCACTCGAAAGGTATCTAATGTCTGCTTAGGTAACAATTTTGACATGTTTAATGCGCTGGAGACTTATGGGGTCTCCGTCTCGGCGGGGACAACAATTGACAATCCCAAAATAGGCAGCAGCGGCAGCGTGCCTTTTGTGCTGGCTAATTGTAATACGAAATCATAACACGCCATAAAAATGACACAAAAGCAGGAGAAGATATTGGGTTGGGATCCGTATCGCATTGGACCGGTTTAGGGCCCGGACCCTGCCTTTGAGCCCAAGACGCCGCCCTGGCAGCTGGTCAATGGAAACAAAGCACTCGCTCTATCCCTGCCTCTCTCTCTGTGTTTCTTTCTCCCTAACATTATAAAGAGAAGATGGCACTCTCTAACGTGTTGGAGTAGTAGTAGATCCCGATACCAATCCCGATCCCCATCCCCATCCCCATTCCCGAGCCATAAATCATGTTTCGAAACACGTTTCTTAACGCGAGCACACACAAAACATCTGTTGTTTGCTTCGGTTTGGTTTGGATCTGGTTGCAGCCTGGCAGCTTTTTCTTCAAAGGACACAAAGGACTTAAGCTTGGGGCGCAAACTGGTTGCCAATTGTCCTGCCAAGACAACAGGCAACGCCACGCCACAGATAAATGTCGTGAGCGACACGCAACACCAGGCAGCTGCTGCTGCTGCTGCTGCTCGGCCAAGTTTTATGGTTAACCCATTGATGATTGCCATTCTTCCATATTTATAAGTTTTGAGGGAGCACATCCTAGTGAATGAATCCTGCACGATCCGTCCTTAAGCAATTGATGTACTGAAACCTTAAAGAATTCAAAAATGACAGGAGAAATAAAAGATACTCTCAGGAAATGTGGAATTTTGTTTAGCTTCATCTTTGCTCTTGTGCCAGAAATTATACCGATGAATTGATCAAATTTCTTTCTTAATGAACGCTGAATCTATTCCATGGAGAGAGTTCATTAACCAAAAAGATGACACATCCTTTTTTTCCCCCACTTTTGTAGTTCAAAAATCATTAATGGGTTAAGTTGTCAAAAAAATGGCTGCGGTTGCAGGATAAAAACTTTTGTTGCTGCTCCTGTTGATGATCCTGCTGCTGCTGCTGGTGCTGACTCACCTTGGCACGTGGACTTAACGATCGCTCTGTTGCTGCAGCTGCCTCTCTCAAGTCCCAAGTCAAGTCGAGAACGAGACGCAAACGAAGACGAAAAGCAGCTGCCAGCAATTTTGTGTGTCCCAAATAGGACCGTCTTCGTGCCCCGTCGCCGTCAGCAGATTAGCTCTCTCTCTCTCTCTCTCTCTCTCTCTCTCTCTCTCTCTCTCTGTCACTCTCTCGACTGTGCTTCTGTTAGGATAATGGAAGCAACACGTGTGCGATTGTGATCCAGGATACCCCTATCAAGGCGAGTCCTATACTCGTGACCCTCTTGGCAAAGGCAACCCCCAAATATTCTCGATCCCCGTAGCCTAGTTTAATTATTGTTTACCTTGCCTCAAGGTTATGCCATTATGATTATGCTCTACTTGATTATTATTTCATAATTTTGCCTCCCTTTCGCATGTCATGGCATGCAGCTTAGCAGAACTCAATCCCGTTGTCCTTGAAGCAAACGATCCCTTATCCTTTGTGGCACGGCCCCAAAGAAATGCAAAGAAAAACCCAGATATAAAGTTTAGATGTGGTACCCTTGAGAATGAAGTAAACAAAAATTGTTTTTCTAACGAATGTTCCTTTGGTTTTGGTGGGCCTTTTATGAGGTAAACCGATTTCAAAGAAATTATCACAGCAACTTCGTTTCAATATTTGATTATGATAGCTGTATGCGAAAAGGCAAATGAAAGCTGTAGCCTTGCAGAATCGTTAATGAAAAATCTCTTGTACTTCTCTTTGAAGGGCATAAAATAATTACGCACTCTCCAACTCCATCTACTGTGTGTGTGCTACGCACAATCCTTTGGCACAGTGCGCTGTGCGCTGGAAGTCTTAAATGCGCATTCCTCGCCCAAACCAAAAGCCACGTCGTGGATAAAGTTCACAACTTGGCACAATTATTGCGCCTTACTTTTGGCTTAAGTGATTTGGTAACCTGGTTCTGGGCTGCTGTTTAGGCTGGGGGTTGATTTTGATCCAAATAATCAAGCAATGTTTGATTACACTGTGGACCATTGGGAGCAACAGCATAATTATCATCCAGCAGAGCCCAGACACTCACCAAAATGTATCTTGCAGTGCATGAAAATGACAGGGAGACACACAGAGACACTCCACTCCACCAACTGTTTGGATTAGAGAAAACTGTACTGAAAATTGTTCAAAAGCGCGTAAAACTTTTTGCCCAGCAAAAGCTGAGCGAACTACGCATTTGATTTGATTTGATCCGGGATGGGATCCTGTGAGTGTGTGTGAGTGTAGCAATACGGCAGCATGTACGATTATATTGTTGTATAAATAATTTATGCAACCCCAAGGAACGCACAATGCCAAGCAAAAAGACGGAAATGGGGTGGCGGCCCGGCCCTTTGTGGCCCTCCCCTTCGGCTGGGGTTGTTCAAGTTGGACATGAGGCACGGAACGGAAGGCAGGATAGGACAGTGGATACCAGAAATCTGTTGCGTAGTCCCTGCTCTGGCTGCTCTGCTCCCTTGTGGAATTGCGTTGCTGGGCATTGGGATTCTCTTCTCACGCTGCATTTTTCCATGTCCTTGTCCTTGCCCTTGCCCTTGTCCTTGTTCTTATTATTGTCGTTGTCCTTGTTGGGTTTACTTTTGATTTGGGTTGCGCCCTTTGTGGGCATAATTATGCTTCGCACAGAGAGAAACCGAATGCATTCTCATTCAAATCCATTTTGCCAGTGCAACATTCCAGCATTTCTCATATCGCATTTCCGCTTAATTGTCTTCGATTGTAGCCGAATTGGAATAAGATCCAATGGAGTGGAGGGAGGAGGTAGATGATCGCAGATGATCATCCCAGAGCTAAGCAAAGGAAAGCTCTCACTCTCTCTCTGTCTTTCGGCAGCTGCTTTTGGTATTTTTGCTCAAGTTTATGCGAATCGCTCGAAAACGCATAAACATATCAAATTACGACGATCGACGATCGACGATCTCATTTTGTAAAAACCGGAAGTTTTTAAATCTCAGCCCGAAAAATGAGACAGAAAAGACAGAAACTCCGACCGAAACCGAAACAGAACAAAAGCCAAAAGACAAGATCATCGGTGGCGGCATTTTCTCTTTTCTTTTCTTTTATTTTCTTTTATTTTCTCTTAATTCGCAAAAACCAAATCTTCATAAATTTCAACATTTTTTCTTAATGATGATGCACTGCAGCCTCGACTCTGCATTGCCCTTGACTGGAGCAACAACAACAAAAAAAGGATCTCTTCATCTCAGCTCCATCTACATATGAGTACATAAATACATTCCCATTTCGATCGCTTGATTTGCTTTCGAAGTTAGTGCAAATATAATTTCTGTTACATTTTTGTCGAGTTGGGGTTTTGTTTTTGTTGAACAAACAAGAGGCAGGCGATCTCGCACAGCAAACACCAAGATCAGCATCGGCATCGGCCAGAACGGAGATGGCCGATTGCTGCAGAAACGAGAAGAGAAGAGAAGAGAAGAGAGGAGAAGAGAGTCTGTCTCCAGCTGCCAGTGCCAGGCATGGGTCAAGTTCATTGACGCCCTCGTTGCTGATGATCGATCAGTGCTCATTTAGCAGGAAACCAGCAGAGAGCCCCATTG